ACGACCTGTGATTCTGTGATTCTGTGATATTGAGAAAGCAGTGGGTTCCTCTGTTTTCTTTTCCAGGAGAGTAAAGGGAGTAGTCATTAGAGGAGGATTTAAGGTCCTCCTCGTTAATAGTTTAATCCGTTGCTACAGAAAACGAAATTTCAGCTGACTTTAATCCTCTGGTGACTGAATTTCCCATTTCAGTTCCAGAAGCTCCCGACCGACCCACGATCTCCACAGCATCCGAGTCCTCCGTCTACGTCACCTGGATACCACGCGCCAACGGCGGCTCCCCCATCACTGCCTTTAAGGTGGAATATAAGCGCCTGGGCCGAAACAGCGACTGGTTGATCGCCGCCGATAGCATTTCCCCTTCCAAGCTGTCCGTGGAGGTGCGAAACTTGGAGCCAGGTATTAAAAACCCACCTTCCCTTCACCTCAGCTCTTGTCTTTGCTTAAATTCTCATCTGCTGGGAGAATGCTGCCACTTTTTGGGTGTTTCATTTTAATTTCTGAATGGATTATGCTGTTTCTGGTCGGTTCGGGTTGGTTTTTGTGTGTGGAATAGGAGCTCATTGCATTAATTCTGGAGTGAATTCCCCTGGTCGCAGTTTATATTTCTGACGACCGCATTAATCTGCAGCAATGAGCCCTAGGGCCTTTCTAACTGGATGCTGTGCAAAAAGTCCTTCCTAATCTGTTTAGTCTCTCCTTGAATCCCCTTTCTGCGGCTTGTTTTGCTGCAACCTCCTCTTTCTCGCCCTTTTTTTTCCCTTAAAAGGAGAAATGTATAGGTTCCGCGTGATCGCCGTGAACAACTACGGGGAGAGCCCGCGCAGCGCAGCCTCTCGCCCTTACCAAGTGGCCGGCTTCACCGGCCGCTTCTCCAACCGCCCCATCGCGGGGCCGCACATCGCGTACACCGAGGCCATCAGCGACACTCAGATCATGCTGAAGTGGACGGTAGGTGGGATTGGCTCAGCCTGGGTTTCATTCTCACAACTGCAGCCCAATATTGAGCATGTTGGGTCTTCGAAGGTCAAGGGTTCGGAGCTGTTTGCAGAGCAGTGAGTGGTGGTTTCGACCCCTGAGACTCAGAGGGGATTTTTTCCCTGGAAGAGGGCTAAGATACTTCACAGCATCAGCAAATCATGTGTTGGGTTGGAGGGGACCTTTACAGCTCCTCCAGCCCAACCCTGCAGTAGCAGGGACGTTGTCACCAGATCAGGGTGCTCAGAGCCCAGCAAGCCTGGCCTTGAATATCTCCAGGGATGGGGCCTGCACCACCTCTGGGCAACCTGTGTCAGTGATCGACCACCTCATGGGGAAGAGCTTTTTCCTCATATCCAACCTAAATCCACTCTTTTCTAGTTTAAAACCATCACCCCTCATCCTACTGCTCCATGCCCTGGTGAACAGCTCTTCCCCAGATTTCTCACAGGCACCTTTCAGGTCCTGGAAGGTCACTATAAGGTCCCCCTGGAGTCTTCTCTTCTCCAAGCTGAACAGTCCCAACTCTCTCAGCTGTCCCCAGAGCAGAGCTGCTGCAGCCCCTCAGCATCAACGTGGCCTCCTCTGGACCTGCTCCAGTAGCTCCATGGCCTTTTAGTGCTGGGGACTCCAAACCTAGATGCAGACCCTATGCTTGTCTGGTACCATTGGGTATCTTCATGGGCCATACACTTCTCAAGCCCCTTACCCCCAATTTCAAAACCCTTTTTCCTTCCCCTCGACAGCCCTTTTGGTTGTTCACCCCCTCGTGCACTGTCTCCCATCCTCCCCAGCCTGGCTCTCCCCTTGCAGCTCCCAGGGGATGCCCCACTCCACCTCCTTGGGTTGCGCCTGATGTGAGCCCCCCGGCAGCTCTGTGAGGAGCCGCAGCCACCCCGCTCCACCTGCTCTGGCACTGACGCATCGAGAGGCACCGCGGGGCTTAACTCAGCCCAGACCACGATTCAGCAGCACCTTGGCTTCGTTTTCTGCCGTCCCCGCTGCTTTTGTCAATCCAGGCTCCGACGGCTGCGTTTCAAACCTGCTGTCGTCCCTCGTGTTAGAGAAACGTTTGCCTTTCCCCCCCACCCCGTTACCTCGTCTTTTGTAAACAAGTACTTTAAAGTCCTTACTGAAAGCCACAGAAATTCTTTGCTCTTGTTTTGAAATCCAACCCCCTGGTATACTTTGGAGGGTTTAACGGGTAATGTTCCCAGTGTTAGTTTGCTCTGCTAGCTCAGCCTTAAGAGATGTTAAGGATAATAAACTTAAAATAACCTCCAGTTCCTCAGGAGGCTGCATAACTTCAAGTAAAATATTCCTGAGCTGAGTTTCAGAGTGACCTTAACTCTTTCTGAAGTAAAAACGGCCTGAACTTTTCCGTCTCCGTTCATCACGTGAATTTTCAGGCCGTTTGTGGTCAGACCCTAATTGATGGTTTGGAAAGCGACGTGGGAGGAAAGTGTCAGCCCCGACTCAGGCTCCTGTCCCCGTCTCCTTCTCTGACGCAGCCTTTTGCATTTCTCTTCTAGTATATAACGTCAAGCAACAACAACACCCCCATCCAGGGGTTTTATATCTATTACCGGCCTACAGACAGCGACAACGATAGCGACTACAAGAGGGATATCGTGGAAGGTACGGTGTGCACACGCTCCCCAGCACCGCTCGTGGGGAGGACATCGCGTAGCCGTGTTGGCTGTGTTTATGTGAAACCTAAACTGCAGTCCCCAGGCGAAGGCTTTGCAATATATTTCACAGCAGCAGCTATCTCAGCTGCAGACGGGCAAGTTCTGCCCACACGTGAGCTTGTTTCTTCCTTCTGAAGCCTCTTTCTACGTGGAAACCTGAGAACTAAGTACTGGGTTGAGCTTGGTCCTGTTTCACTGCTGCAAATCCTCAGCCTAGCTCTGTTTAAACTGGTTTATCCTCAATGTAGCTCTGTTTAAACTGGTTTATCCTCAATGTAGCTCTGTTTAAACTGGTTTATCCTCAATGTAGCTCTGTTTAAACTGGTTTATCCTTAATGTAGGTCAGTTTAAACTGGTCTATCCTCACTGTAGGTCAGTTTAAACTGGTTTATCCTCAATGTAGGTCTGTTTAAACTGATTTATTCTCAACATAGGTCTGTTTCAACTGATTTCTCCTCACCTCTGTTTCAACTGGTTTCTCCTCACTATAGTTCAGTTTAAACTGGTTTCTCCTCAGCATAGATCAGTTTAAACTGGTTTCTCATCAGCATAGTTCAGTTTAAACTGGTTTCTCCTCAGCATAGGTCTGTTTCAACTGGTTCATTCTCACTGTAGGTCTGTTTGAACTGGTTTCGCCTCACCGTAGGTCTGTTTAAACTGTTTTATCCTCACTGTAGGACTGTTTGAACTGGTTTATCCTCAACGTGGATCTGTTTCAACTGGTTTACCCTCACCGTAGCTCTGTTTCAACTGGTTTATTCTCACAGTAGCTCTGTTTCAACTGGTTTATTCTCAGTGTAGCTCTGTTTCAACTGGTTTATCCTCACTGTGGGTCCGTTTCAACTGGTTTAGCTTAAAGCAGTTGGGTGAAGGGAAAGCAGCGTAAATGAGATTTAACCCAGGGTGAGCGTGGCTGTGTTGCAGACTGCACTAATAACTCGCTGGCTTTTGGGATGATTCACCCCAGCACGGATTTGCTAAGTGAGGTGGTACCTTGTGTGTAATCACCCTTCTCGCCTCTTGCCGTGCTTAATTGCTTATCCTGCTATAAGGAAGTTACTTGTAGCCTCGAGTGCTGTAGTACGCTGCAAATGCAGGTATGTTTGTGCTTTTAATCAGGGTATTTTTCTCCCCCGGTGCGTATTAGATCATCATTTTCCTGGAAGAAGTTGTTAGATAATGTCTATATTAGTCCAGAAGTGGAAAACCCTTTTAAAAATATTTTACTTCATGTCCTTACTGCTCAGGCTGAGTAAACCTGGTGATCTCATTCTGCCCCAGTGACGTTAATTATTTTTTTCCCCTCATTTATTTCAGTTACAAGAGGAACGGGCCTTTATTTTGAAAACTTTCCCCTGCTAGACAATACTCCACATGGTGCTTTGATGCGTGACATAAGCTTTTGCACACTCTAAAGCCATTAAAGAGCCGGAGCTGGGGCTCAGAGGATCACTTTAAAGCAGCGTACGCAGCCTGCGCCTTCATCTGCAAACGTCTTTTAGCCTCGGCTGGGCAGAACTGGCGTGTTTATAAATCTTCTACACTAAGCAGGGAGTTGTTGAAGCGGGCTCCGCTGTGCTGTGAAATTAACTTCTTTCTGCTTTTTTATTTAAATGATATTTTTTATTTTTAAATGATTTTTTTTTTCCCCCCGAGAGCAAAATGTTGTCTTGAACCCTTTGTGGCATTCTGAAACCGTTGACGGCTGCTCCGCTGCTGCCAGAGCCAGCGACAGAAACTCGCTGGGTGGAAATATTTCAACTCCAGCTTTTCTTTACTGTGCTCCCCTAAATCAGCTTTTCGGGGGGGGGAAATATAAAACACGAGCGTGCTATTTTCAATTACAGTGTAATTGGAAGCATTTGATGTGAAATATGTAGAGAAACATGTGACTCAAGGTATTTTTGCTATAAATCACTTGTTCCTCACTTTTTTCCCCCTCCGTTGCCTCTGAATTAATCTGTCTGTTTTTTGACAGGGAGTTTTATCTTGAAATGGCTCCGGGAGTTGTGGAAAAAGTGTTGTGATGCCGGTGTGAGCTCAGTGCTTGCCGTAGGCTTTCCTCACCCTTTCCTGTTAAGTCTTGTCTTTCGAGACATTCAAAACTCTGCAGAAAACCTTTTTTTTTCCCCTCTTATAAATGCCGCTACAGGCAAAATCAGATTTTATTTCAAGAAAAAAACAAGCAAAAAGCTTGACTCGGATGGCTCCTCGGTATTTTTCAGCAAAAGCAAAGCAAAATCAGCCCTGTCCTGCATTGACACTCTGAATTTCTCTCTTTGGAGGGTCCTGGAGATTGAATTTTCAATGTAAATGCAGTCTGATGTCAGTTGTTTAAATGTTTTTCCTTGCTAATGGTGCACGAAGAGGACAGTTAAAGTGCCTGTGCTGATTCCAGTTCCACTAATGGTTTCCAGCGGAAACCTAAAACCTGCTGTAGTAATTACCCAAAGGAATGCTTGGGGGTGGGGGCGCCTGGAAAAAAGAGTCTGAATCTTGGGGAAAACGTGCAATTTAGGGAAGGGCCTAGGGAAGGGCCCAGGGAAAGGCTTGGCTTAGAGAAAGTCGTAGGAAAAGGCTTAGGAAAAGGCCTAGGGAAAGGCTTGGCCTAGGGAAATCCTTAAGGAAAAGGCCTCGGGAAAGGCCTGGTCCAGCTTCAGCCAGGCCTCTCTGCCCTCACTGGGGACGGGGCTTGGACTAGGCCTCAGTCCCCTCCCCAAACTGAGATGGGGTCCTACTGGGTACCCCCTGACCCTTTTTTGGCCCAGCAGGGGGATCCACACCTGGGCTGGGGTCCCGGAGAGGTTCACAGTGACGGCCTCCGAGCTTTATTTTTGTTATTAATGCTTAAATCAGTAGGTGGTATGACAGTTTCTTAGAAACAGTGGAAACAGTTCAAGGTGGTATTTTCCAAGAGGGATTAAGAGCCCTCAAACAGTTAATTAAACTCCCTTTAAAAAAAAGGCATAAAAAAAGGGTTGCTGTTTATTAAAATTTGTCACAAGGCCGTGAAAGTAAAAGCGGGGAGTGATTTATATTGAAGTGCTGAGGGCTTCAGGAGGGTGTCTAAATGAAATGCTGGCTGGGAGCCAGCCATGACAGAACCGTCCCTGTTACAGGAGGCTGCTTGACTTGGGATCCTCTCTGATCCCTCATTTTGTTCCGGTTTCAGCTGGGTTGAGGGGCGCAGATGTGTCCTTCCTGCGGAAAAAATCACAGAATCAGAGTCACAGAATATTAGAAGTTGGAAAGGATTTCAAGCTCCCCCAGTGCAACCCCTGCCAGAGC